TATAGTAAATCATAGAAAAATCATAAAATAGAAAATCCAATTTTATTGGACTCCACATTAGTAGATCAACACAGTGAATATATAATATGGTATGCTCTAGTACAATTTTTTGCTATAGCTTTAGATTTATGTTTTTCTGTAATTAATTCATAGCTACAGTTCTATGGTCTAATTATGATGTAGTTTTTATGGTGGTCTAATTATTGTATGCTTGAATTATAGTAAAAATTTTAGACTCATTGATCATGTATAACTCAGTTATAGATTTATAAATACATTTTAACAAGCATACACCTAAATAAATCTATAACTGACTTATACATGATTCAATAAGTATAAAATTTTTACTACAGTTCAAGAATACGATAATTAGTCCACCATAAAAATTTTACCACAATTGAACCATAGAAACTGTAGCTATGAGTTAATTATAGAAAAGCATAGATCTAAAGTTATAGCAAAAAATTTATAGTAAATCATACCATATTATATGTTCACTGTATGGATCTACTCATATGGAGTCCAATAAAATTAGATTTTCTATTTTATGATTTTTCTATAATTTATTATGATTTTTCAAATATTCAATCAGAATAAATAAAAAAGAAAAAGACAAAACCGCCTTTGAACATCACATATAACCGACTAGGGAAGTAAAACGAATGACTTTAAAAGTTTAGGTATGTGATTTACGGGAGCTCCTACAGTCCGGTCGTTCGGATGACTCCACACGCCGACGGGCAACGCGGGAAAAGCGGCATTGTGGGAAATTTCGCGGGCGGCAACACGGACGCATGGTGCGCGCAGGCTGACCAATCCCGCAGGGGCCCACCACATCCACATGCGGTGACTTGTAACAGATTAAAAAAAGTTATAACTCCAAAACTAAATATTCAAATTAAATTCCGATTGCACCATCGGGTTTCTTGTAATAAATTCTTCAAAACACGATCTCATATGAATATTTAGATAAAATTTTATTAACGAACATTTATCTTATGGAGATAAAACATTTTTTTTTATTGAGCGGAGACGATGGTCTAGATTCAAAGAACAATGTTCCGTCTACATAAGAAAAATATTCTCGATTTAGAAGAACAATATTCTAGTTTTAGATTCATGAAATTGTTATTATAATATTTAAATAAAAAAATACATAACATAAATAAAAAATAACAAAATCTAGAACAAACCATAAGGGAAAAAATAAAAACTCTATAATAGAGAAATTTTTTAAAAGAACATCACGATGGTACTTTTCAAACATACTAAAATATACTTAGAATATCATATGTATACTGAATATACCTTAGACCATCATTAAATACATTATAGAACATCGTATATATATTATGTGAACATTTATCTTATAAAGATGGAACATTTTGTTTTATTCTGTAGAGACGATGTTCTAGATTAAAAAAATAACGTTTCATCTTTGTAAGAAAAATGTTCTCAGTTTAGGTTCATGAAATTGGTATTATAATATATATATAAATAAATATATAACACAAATAAAGAATAATGAAATCTAGAGCAAAGTATAAGAAAAAAAAAATAAAAACACGTACTAGAGAAAAAATTTAAAAGAATATTACATTGCTACTTTTCAAACATCATAAAATATACTATAGAATATCATATGTACACTAAGTGAACATTACTAAATACAACATAAAACATCATAAGAAACATAATAGAACAACACATGTATACTACATGAATGTCACAGAATACATCATAGAACATCATTATATACTACGTGAACATCACATATATACTACGCGAACATCATAAAATAAATTATAGAACATCACATCTATACCACGTGAACATAAAAAAACATGATAGAACATCACATGTATACTAAATGAACATAGAAAAAACATCACAGAACATGTCATTATATAGCACGGAAACATCACAAAAAAGATCGTAGAACATTACATCTATACTATATAAATATAGAATCTCATGGAATATAGAAAAATAAAAAATTAAACATAAAAAATATTTAAGTAAGGTAAAATAGAAAAATAGAAAATAAAATATATAGAAAACATAAAGACAAAAGAGAAAATAAAAAAGAAAAAGAAAGAAATACAAAAAAGAGTAAAATATAAAAATAAAATAAAATAAAATAAACAAATAAAATAATTAATTATAATAAAACACAATAATAATATAATAAATGAAAAGAATAGCAAAGAAGAGAACACACATAAAACATGAATAACAAATGATAAATATATAGAAAAATAAGAAATAAATTTGTAAATGAAAAAAATAAAGTAATTAATTAGTGTAAAATAACATAGAATAGAAAATAAAAAAGAAAAAGGAAAAGAAAAAGAGAAATATAAGAAATAAAAAAAGAAACTAACGTAACAGCCTACTCCCTAGTTAAGAAGAAAATAAGCAGAAGAAAAAAAGGACACCAACTACTAGCCTATATCGAGTGAAGAAAAGAAACATACGTGAAGGAAACATAGAAAATAAAAAATAAAAACAAAAATGAAAATTAAATGAAACGAGAAATAAAAGATAAATTGAAGAAAGGAAATAAAAAATAATAAGAAAAGAAAAAGAAATAAAAGAAAATAAAAAGAAATAAAAGAAACATACAAAATATAAAAAATGAAAAGAATAATAAAAAATCACAAAAAACATAAAAGAAATAAAAATAAAAATGAAGCACGAAAAGAAAGAGAAAGAAAGAAAAAAGAAGAAAAGAAAAAAAAAGAAATAAAGAAAAAGAAACTAACGTAACGTCATACCTGTCCTAGTATGCCGCCGACTCCCGCGCTTCGGTGACTCCCGGGCGCTCGTTCCCGCTTTCGGTGATTCCCGCGCATACTGTTTGGCAGACGCATCTGAATCCCAGTGATTTAGCCGATTTTAGAGTTAAACAGACTCTCGCAAGAAGCGAGGAAGGTTAGGTGGCCTTTTTCCTATCAAGCCCTTTGTTTAGTTCATCCAAACTCCTGAAAAGTGCACTATGCAAAAAGAAGATTCCCTATCACATTAAACTTGTGGTACATACATGGAGTACTAAATATAGACGAAATCAAAAACTAATTGCACAGTTTGCTTTAACTTTGCGAGACGAACCTTTTAAACCTAATTAATCAATGTTTAGACAATAATTTACAAATACAAACGAAATGCTACGTTATAGAATCTTCACTATACAAAGAACTAAACACCCCACAAATAATATCGGGCGGAGTGAGCATGTAGACAGGGTGGTGCGGGCCTAGTCGGATCCTGACTCGAAGACGACCCCCGGTAGATGACCGCCGGATCGCATTTGTGAACCTAGCCCGGTTTGATGGGCTTGACCCAAAAGGCCGTATTGGCCTAGCGCCGTGTAGTCCTCGCCTGTTTCCTTCCGCTGCAGCAGCGGCAGCGGCAGCGGCAGCGATCCCCTCCTCCGGTCCTCCCTGCACGCCGGCTCCTCCTCATCCTCGCCCCCTCCGTCCACGGGTAAGGCAAGACTTCTCCGCTCAATCTTCTATCCCCTCCACTGTACCCTGTGATCTGTTCCTGACCCGCGTCGAATCGATTGATCTTTTGATCTGTAGTACTAGTACCACACCCAGCCAGCCTAGGTCGTGGGGGCGAACCCTACGGGGGCGTGTTGGCATAGTGACGGATTTCGGGAGGACGCTGTTATTAGTTTGGTATGTAGTATATCTAGGGGTTTCGCAGATCCAACCCTTGATCCCTCCGGTTTCGGGTCTCCGGGACCGGGATGTGTTCGCTATTCCTGTAGGTGAATCCAGTATTTGTTTGTACGTTTCCTGCTGCAAACGTATGCTTCTAGGTTGGTTGGCGATAGATGCAAATATTTGATTTGTTCTCAAAATCAAGTCGCCATGTGTTGTATGATTGTATTGATTCGCGCTGGATGTTTCTGAAAAACAAGTTTGCTTTTGCTGCCTTGGATTCATAAAAAGATAATAGAACTAAACAATCCAGCCTTATATGGTAGCATCTCTCTCATCAAGTTAAGAAGTTTGTGGTTGAGTTCGTGCGTTATTTTCGTGAGATTAGTATTTAGTAACGCCACTATCTGCATATATTTTTTTTGCTTCAACCTCTCTCTTCTGCAGTTTTTCTGCGCAGGGTACCCTTGTGTCAGCTGCTTAAGTTTGGTTCAGCTCTTTTCGGTCTATTTCAGGGCTTAATTATGAATAAATGTGGTTTTGAGAGGGTTTGAAAATTTCAAAGAAGTGGAAAAGACATTATCAGACCAGATGTACTGCATTTTATGTGTATATGCTGGACTATGTCTTCTCATTTCTCCTCCAAAAATAATTCCCAATCACCATTCATGCTTCTGTAGCTTTTGCTCTCAGGATGCCCCCTGTGTCGGTTGTTGAAGTTTGTTTAAGCTCTTTTTGGTCTATTTCGGATTTTTCTAATAAAATGAATACAAGTGGTTTAGAGAGGGTTGCAATCTAAAAAGTTAAAACCATGTTATTGTACCAAATGTTTTTGCTGCATTTTATGCATATATGCTGGACTGTGTTTTCCTACTTTTCTTCCAAAAATAAAGTTCCCATCACCATTCATGCACCTTTCTAACATGGTGGATTGGTGTTATTTTTCTGATGCTGCAATAGATATACCATCGCCAGTATTCTGAGCTTCATAAGCTAATTTAGATGAAATTTATTGTTCAGTGGTGTATCCTCAATCATCCTGTGTTTTAGTATGCAATCTGACAAATGATGAATTTGGCCCAATTGTGGAAAATCAGTGTTTTGCATTGATGTTGCTGTGGTTGCAATATGCATACCATCAACTCCATGTGAATATATGATGTTTAACCTGGCCTCATTTTTTGGCTAGTAAGTGTGCATACCTTATGTACTTACGTTATTCTTTGATTTATAATTTATCTAATATCCTCGCTTAATCGTATAGGAGACTGAAGTGTTGAACACAGAATTAGGTTGTCATATTTGTTAAGTTAAAGTTTGATCGTTGGAACAATGCCACCCCATAAGATCGAGACTGGACATCAAGATGTGGTGCATGATGTCGCCATGGATTACTATGGGAAGCGCTTAGCTACAGCCTCCTCTGATAACACAATAAAGATCATTGGCGTAAGTGGAAACTCGCACCAGCAGCTTGCAACTTTGAGTGGACACCAGGGCCCAGTATGGCAAGTCGCATGGGCTCATCCCAAGTTTGGTTCCATGCTCGCATCCTGCAGCTACGACGGCCGGGTGATCATCTGGAAGGAAGGAAGCAAGCCTGATGAATGGGCACTGGTACACACCTTTGCTGAGCACAAGTCCTCTGTGAATTCCATCGCATGGGCCCCTCATGAGCTGGGTCTATGCTTGGCTTGTGGTTCATCAGATGGGAACATTTCAGTCTTCACTGCTCGTTCTGATGGAGGTTGGGATACCACACGTATTGACCAGGCGCATCCAGTCGGTGTGACCTCAGTTTCATGGGCTCCGGCAATGGCACCGGGAGCTCTAATCAGTGCAGGATCTTCTGGTCAGTTTGAGTATGTTCAGAAACTCGCTTCTGGTGGCTGCGACAACACGGTGAAGGTGTGGAAGCTCAACAATGGGAGTTGGCGGATGGACTGTTTCCCTGCCCTACAGATGCACAAGGACTGGGTGAGAGATGTTGGGTGGGCGCCAAACCTAGGCCTTCCAAAGTCCACCATTGCCAGCGCCTCTCAGGATGGAACAGTTGTTATCTGGACAGCAGCAAAAGAAGGCGAGCAGTGGGAAGGCCGGGTGCTTTATGATTTCAGAACCCCTGTGTGGAGGCTGTCGTGGTCCCTGACTGGGAACATACTGGCGGTGTCTGACGGCAACAACAATGTGACCCTGTGGAAGGAAGCTGTGGATGGCGAATGGCAGCAAGTGACGACCGTTGAGCCATAGGTCTCTAGAGTTGTTCCTCACTTATATTGCCGTGATAATAATTGTAGTTTTCGTGTAAGGTAAAGCTATGCCCCTGTGGGTAGCATGTGGAACTGTTTGTGGTTCATAGCTTGTGGCAAGGCACAGTGCATGAGACATGGGGTAGCATGTGGAACTGTTTGTGGTCATAGCTTGTGGCAAGGCACAGTGCATGAGACATGGTTTCAGGCTCGGACAAAAGTGAAAAATTAACTTGTTATGTATGTGGGTCATTCTGTTTCTCGATTCAGTGCCTTTTGTTTCCCATGGTTAATTGGATATACTTGATGCTCTCTGCATTGCTGATGTAAGCTTTGCACTTGTAGGCCAAGTTTTCTCCAGTGAAACTGTGGCCAGACAAGATGAAGCCAAGCACAATTTGGTCCACTGGTATCAACGAGGGGCCAGGGCCGAAAAAGCCTGGAAGGGAGCTCTCCTGGGCTCCTGGCGCCATTCCAATCGCGTCGTGTGCCGGGGCGTTTCTTTGCAGGCCATTTCACTCGCTTTCCTTCAATATCCTGTTGAAGTACTCGTCATTTTCGTCACCCTAGTAGTCACAAAGCTCTGTTTATACTCCTACAGTGCTTTCTTTTGGTCCATCCAACATCGAGGGTTGAGACTCCTAGAACTAGAATCAGGCACCCAGAAACTTTTCTTGAAATCGAATTGTTTCCACCAGAAAAAAGAAAATATGTGCATGTAGTACTGTATGTTACCATCACAGTGAGTCCTTTTCCTGCTCGTAGAAAGGGAGAAAAACAGAGTTTGTGTCCCTCTCCTCAACGGGGATTCCAAGTTCGGGTAACCAACGGCGCAGACCGGCCCCAGAGATCACTGGATTAATCATAGCCCTACAAAATAACCGACCGCATTAATTAATTTGACAAGATTTCGGGAGTGCGTTCTGTTCGCCTCTGAAACTACACCAACTGCGGCCGCACAGGCGTCAGGCCCGGGAGAGGAGTTCGTGCTCCAAAAGATTCGCGCTTGGCCACTTTTTTTGTACAACATCCACTCAGCTCCCTAGCGACTTCGTTTGTTGTTTTGCACCTTGTTTAGATGTCATCCAAATTTTTAAGTTTTTTCACTATCTCTCCGTTACATTAATTTTTAGCCGCTTGTATGCAGTATTAAATATAGGTAAAAAAAAATAATTACACAGTTTAGTTAGAAATCACGAGATAAATCTTTTGAGCCTAGTTGATCCACGATTGGACAATATTTATCAAATAAGACCAAAATGGTATTATTTATCGGGTTAAATTTTTTTTTGCAAAGTGAACCAGGCCTTCTTCTTCTTTCTTCCCCGAAAAGGCTAGACGGCGGCTTCGAGAGCTCACTCGTCGCCGGCGGCCGGCGACGGAAGGTGCGGGTTTCAGTTCTTTCTTTTTTACCCCTACCTCGGTTCCATAAGCGAGCGCTTTTCGTTCTCGTTGGATTGGTTATTCGTCGTCGCGGCGCGATTAGGTTCATCTCTTCTTGGTTCCCACCAAGTTCGGCTCCTTTTAGTCTTAGGGCAGTATGATGCTCTTTTACTGGGGTTCTGTAAGGACTATGCTTTGGTTTGATGATTCGTTTGGTTGGGTGCTTGGATGCTACTGGTTCATTACTTAATTTTGGGGTCGATTGGAGAGGGGATCAGATAATCTTTGCTCGTTTAAATAATCTGCCTGAGGTTTCACCAACGGTTCGATGATAAAAATCAACCCTTTTGTTCTGCTCAGTCTTAGTCTCATCAAGCTTTGTTTGAGCAGAACTGTCCACTGTAGGTTGTGTGAATGACAGGTACCACACTTTGCTAAATTCAGCTAGGGATTATAGTACAACTTGTCTGAAGGTTCAGACACCAGTGTCATCCAAATTTGCAAATTCTATCCTGCAAACATGACTTGATATGGAAGAACCGCATGCCTTTAGAGTTTAGAAACAGGACGTAAACTGCCGAGTGTTATTGCAAACACATTGTATCGTTCTGACCAGGAATCCTGTTAATTGATTGTAGTTATGTAGGATCAGATTATGTAAAATAAACTAGCATTTACCACTCAATGCCAGTGAATAGTTTAAACAAGTACATCTACTGTTCCTGACTGTCTGAATCAGATGTCTGGATTGCTATCAAGCTTATTCCTAGAACCTGGTAGAAATTTATACTTGCTACAATTAGAACGGTATGTTATACTCTAACAATGTTTGTTGGTACTTAATGTTGAATTTTCAATGTTCTCTGAAACAGGACATTTCCACCATTTTATTGACAAAGAAAGAAAAAAAAAAGCTAATGGCGAGAAGCATTAATTCAGATTATATTGATTTCTCACATATGGGTGGATTCGACATGGACATCGATTTTAACGGATTTGAGGAAAATGTGAAAAAGTTAATGGAGGTAGTAGTAGTTCCTTCTCATAAGTTTGATGTTTAACATGATTTTTTCGGTTTGCACATATTTGGATATTCGAACGCAACATAGGATTTTCTTGATAATGCTTTGTTACTAACTTTCCCCATTTATGGACAGCTCCCGATCAAGTATCTTGATTCGGCTCATGATAAGGCTGTTGAATTCATTGAAGATGTTCATGCAATATTTTATGGTCCCTTTACTGATGATGAGGTGCCAAATAACGATGATTGCTATGTTATCACTGAATCTTCACCAACATCTATTGAAAAGGAGCTAGTTGGACCAAACACTGAACCCTCAACTCCTGCATCCTTCATTACCATGGAGAACAGTTCTACTGGCTGTGATACTGATGCTCATCAAACTGAATCATTTTCAACAAAAAGTACAGGTTTATCCTTGATGAATCATGTGTACCCAGAAAATAATTCATCTGAAGGAACTCATATCGAATCAAATGATCTTTGTATTTTGCCTGTGGACATCTCAACAACTAGAATATATGGTACTAATTTTTCTAATAGACACTTTATTTCTCTTTATCTGCATCTTCTTGCCTAACTAATTATTTTTCTGTACTGTTTTCCCTCTTTTTTCCCCTTTCAGACGCTCTGATGAAGTCATTTTATGGAATCCAGAGACTTTTGTAAAACCACGGCGATCACATGGTTCGTGTCATCATGAGATCATTGCAAACTTTTAATATCAACAATACTGTGTTTTTTAAAAAATATTTGTAAAATTACACTTGATTCCATAGCCATATGCATAGATCATTTGGCTTATTACATCCATTATCACCTTCCATCAATATTTTGATCTGTATTTATATTTGTCTTAATTTTAATGAAAATTTGTAATTGACCTGACAGAACTTACCACCATACCTCAAGATGATCATGCACCTCATGCTTTGGAAACAGAAGTGACAGTGCAAGTTGGACTCAACTGTTCTGGACATTCAGGCAAATACCTTGTAACCTCATTTTATCCTTATCTATAAGAATGGCAAAGGCACATCATTTTTTTTCAAGTTACTTACCGTGCCTTCATATCCTGGCAGATTCTTCTGTTTGTAGTGGACTAATACCACTAGAAAATTCTCGTGCAAATTATGAAGAGCACATGGTATTACACAGTGCAAACGACCCTGCTGGAGTAACAGTGCATGGTTTGCATCTTTTCACCTTTTAACTGTGACTGATAGTTCTGTACTACTGTTACGTCTCCCCTTGTTTTTAGAATAATAACTTCAATGCAAAAATGCATATAACAACGTAAATATTCTCAATCATTTACCCTTGCATTAAATTGGCATGACAGCAATTTGTCCTACTTGGTGAAAAGTAATTAAATGTGAGTATGCAAACTTGTATGCTTTAGCAAACCACATGATGGCCCTGCTCGTTATAAAGGCCCATTTTTGTCCACATTTGCAAGTTTTTGTGTTGATAGAAGTGGGTAAAATGTAAGCATACTGACTATTTGATCTTAAAAAATCAAAATAATGGCTTAAAAAATATATTTATCTTTGACAGTTCACTTGAGAAAAAAATTAGCAAGTGCTTTATAAGATATATAACTGGCTTATTTAAACGTTTGTCCAACTGCCATAAATACACTAATCTGTTTTACATTTGTTTTGATTAAAAAAATGATGTACGTGTCCTGGCAGATTCCATTACCATAACCCATGATGATTATGTACCTCACACATTGCACACGGAGCAAATGACAGAACAAGCTGGACTTGGACTGCATTGGTCTGGACATTCAGGCAAGTTGCTTAACCCCAGCTTATCTTTATCCATAGAATGACAAAGGCATATGATTCGTTTTGATGTTATTTACTGTGCCTTAATATATTGAATTTTCGCAGATATCCTAGAAACTCTACGGATTTTTTTTAATGCACCGCTGCGAGAAGATTCGGGCCCGTTCGCTTCGCTGAAAAAACAAACCGAAACATTGTTCCGACTGATTTGTTGTGAGAGAAAAATACTATTCCTGTTGAAAAAAACAAACTGAAAAAGACGGATTATAAGAGAAGTGAACATGGCCTCTGGCACAAATTACGAAAGGGCTGTTTGCTTGCAGCCCTGCCAGGCAACTCTGCCGGGGACAAAAGCAAACAGGCCCGAAGTGCACGTGGTATCATACAGTGCAAACAGCCCTGTGGAATCAACCACACATGGTTTATACCTCTACACTTATGACCTGTTCTATTATCTCTCCTGTCATATTAAATGCACTTTGAAGCCAAAATGTTTTCAACAGTAAACTATTCTGATTCGTCTCAGCTTCATAGTATTTGGTAATGAAGTTTTCCTGACATAATTGAGCAAAATAGTATAATTAATTTTATATAAGATATACAAAACTTCTTCTGTACTTAAGTAAAACTAGATGATCGTCTTACTTGGGATAGTGTTTAATAATTTATGCTAGGAATACCAGTGAAGCCAAGGAATCCGTTAGGCTCGTCCTTCCCAGCCCCGCCATCAACATTTGATCGATCGCATACACCATGCAAAGTTAGTTGAATGCATAGGTGTGGCACTTAACGTTTTCTAATTATTAATAAAAAAAAGGATTTAAAATAATTCTCGTTATGAAGAATTTACAGAAATATTGTATATGTTACGAACCTGTAAAGATTCGGATAGACATGCTGCGCATGCACTCTACCGGGCTACCAGCTGATAGGATTTGAGAGGAAAACTGAGGGAAAGAGAGCAGGAACTCAGGTCAGAGAGGGAGTTCAGAGATGGGGTGGGAGATAACTGGGGATACACGTAATGACGTACTCCTAACTGGTGCGTGCTTGCTCAGGACATGGGCTTCACGCAGCGTGCAAGGACGTTGACATCCGAAGCTGACGGCTCCTTCCTTGCCTGCCAGTCCCTGATGCGTCCTGCAGGCTCGTTCAGTCGTTCCTGCAGACGACATGGGCATAGGCGGCCACGCCGCGGGATGCCCAGTGACCACCCATCCGAAGCATGAATGAACCTGAAGGCTCAGCTCACCTCAGCCGAAATGGGGTCGTACTCTAGCTGATGATCAAGGTCAAGTAGCCACCGTATCAACCAGTCCAATCCCAGGCAAGGCATCGTCCACACTCCTCAAGACAAGCAACAACGTTTGGATTTTGGAAGGGAACCGCGCGCCGCTTGCAGTCAGTCGACGACCACATACAGATACAATACTTAACTCCTTGTTGTCTTGCTACAGTGCATGCATGAATGATCCTTGGATACTTGTCGGTGCCGCCGCCGTCATCTTCGTCGTCGTCTTCGGGATCGGCTTCGTCATCGTCTTCATTCCGACCACTTCGAGGGCCCAAAGGCGTCCTCCTTCTCCTCCTCGGAGGTCTAGGGAGGACTCCAATCAGGAGAACTATAGTCACTAGAGTCGTCATCGCTTGAGGTCCAGCTCGTCCTCGTCGGTGGACGAGTTGTTGTTGCTCGAAAGCTTCAAGTAGCTGTCTGCCGACATGCTTGAAGTTGCATGAAGAAGGGGTGAACAAGGAAGAAGGGTGGTTTCAAAGAAGTGGACATGAAGAATATATAGAGCACTAGGTGAGCCTCTTCGGCTTCTCCTAGCGGAAGTAATGGTGATGAAAGCATATTGGTAGTTGGGACATTACTCAACAGTCACGTAAAATGCGGATCGCCGGTACCACCAAACGTTGCTTTCGTGCCGACGACCATAACGGCTATTAAAGGCGGCTCAACGTATAATATGGTGGCAAGAAGAAACCCCAGCATCACCGCCTGATCCAACGGTCACCCATCGGTGGTAGATGTTTTCTCTGCTGGTTTGATTGCACTCCAGGCACCGCCGTCCCTCTCTAGTCGTCGGTGACACGGTTTCACCACGAGTTATTACATAATCGACCGTGATAATGAGGGCGGTGACAGCTGAGTCTGTAGTAGTGAAACCTGGTCAGATTTTAAGTTCAACTCATGGTAGAACTAAATCAACCTACATGTCAAGAATATTCGTATTTTATTTTGTGGGAATAAAGAGGAAGAAAGCTCCCTTTCCACTTTCTCCTCTTCATTTGCTCACCAGTTTGCACTATGTTGTTCCAAATCATGCACACAAAAGATTATTTTCAGAGGTAATCTAGTGTCCCAAATATCTTTCATTCTTTGAGCAACCACCCATCCAAATGTCATCAACCTATATATATATATATATATATATATATATATATATATATATATATATATATATATATATATATATATATATATATAGAGAGAGAGAGAGAGAGAGAGAGAGAGAGAGAGATCTTATGGAGGACTTGCCAGAGTCTCTAAGCTTCCATATAACCCTAATCTCCTCACTAGCCACACTCCACATTTTCCAAAGATACCATTAGTTTCTCCAATTCCTATACATATTCATCTTCAAGGTTTCTCCTATACTCCAAGTTCCACTCTTCCTTCTTCATATCAACTACTGACCAATTTTGTTGTCTATTTATCCTAAACGGCCTTGGATACAAAATCCTTAAAAGGACATTCTAACCACATATCATGCCAGAATCTCACCCGTGACCATCATTTTCAACCTTCCATCCCGTGGCTTTCTCATACCAACCTTTTGCTTGCTCTACAACCCTATTTTTAGCCTTAAATACACAGCGTCCATACATATACAAGTTGTATATATGATATTTGCTGATTGCACTCTTTGATCAATCTAGACAAAACAAAGACAGTGAACACGCAGAGGTGAAATATAAAGCATGATCAATTATTTATATTTCAACAAAAAAATGGAAACATTTATTTGTAGCAAAAATGCATGATACATCTCATGATACGATATTTGACTCCAAAATGATTAGTTTTAAGATCCAGCAACTTCTTATACTGCATAGTGTGCGTTTACATCCAAATGCTTTACCGTCCATCGAGTAATGTAAAGCCATGGCTAAATCCTAAATGCATATGGTCAACAACTGGGCCCCTTGCAACGGTGGCAGTTATCCACACACTCATTATGGACTTGAGCGCGAGAGGAGGAGAATACCATATATAGAGGTAGAACGTGCTGCATGCACGGCACTGATTGATCATTAGCGTGTGACAGCTCCTATGTGTTACGGAGTAGAGTGCGTTGTGCTGCATGTCCCCGCGATAGGAGCTCTCGAGCTTTACATTTACCGTGAGTAATGCTTCACAATCCATAACATTTTTTAAAACTATTAAAAATTTGTTTTTATGTAACACAATCGTGTTAATTAAAGCCATATATTTCAAAAGTAACTAGGAGAATACCCCGCGCATTGCTGCAGGAATTCCCGATAATTTAAAAAGAAATTAGACTATTTATGTTTATAGTTATATGAATGAAACTATCTTAAATTAATTTTGGTGAATGGTTTAACACATCGATATGGACAACTAAATGCATGTTAGTGGATGAAGAGATAACTATCATAATTACATGTGCTAGTTGGCTATAATTGCAAGTTCTAGTGGATTGTTGATGTGGATAGCTTGCATGTTGAGAAAAATCTTTAGTGGGGTTTATCTTTATAAGAGTATACATGCATGTGCTAGTTGGCTACAATTGCAAGTTCTAGTGGATTGTTGATGTGGATAGCTTCCATGTTGAGAGAAATCTTTAGTGAGGTTTAGCTTTATAAGAGTATAGGATAACCTGCAGCCACACCATTCATGTATACGTTTTGACTAATGATGATGCATAAACGCGATCGTGATTTGAGAATTATGTGATTAGTTATTAATGCTGAAAGGGAGGTGATTAACAGTATGATACAACATGCATGAGCAAATATCCAACTAATCTTTAGCTAACTATTTTTGTCTTCTAATATTATTAGGATACTTATTACTATATGATATAGAAATTGCACTATTGGAGTCGGATTTGGGAGTAGTTTCAGACGATGATTTTGTTGTGAAATATATAGGGAAGACACATTGTATGTACTATATGATACCCCGCGCGTTGCTGCGGGAATTT